TTAACCTGTGTTTTGGTAAATTAGATCTGCACTTATATAAACTGTCAGAACTGCAAAAGGCATCTGAAGGTGTATAAATTCAAAAGCATCATGAAGGGCTTCATCCTTCCCATCCTTAAAAGAAATAGAGCTATAGAACCTTGTTTTGTGCCTGGACTCCTTTATGTTGCTCTATATTTTCTGGGTTCTGGGCCAGCCTGCAAATGGAGACAGTTCTGCAGAAGGTGCTGCAATCCAGCTGAGACCTGACAGGGCCCAAGGGAGCCATGCTGGGCCCTGCAGTAAATATTACATTGGAGAACACATTTTACATTCCTTGTGTATCAGCAAACACAAAATAATTAAGCAGTAGAAAACATGATGGAATCCAGAAAGTCTTCAGGTTCCTGTCAGAATAATTGCTATCTACAGAGTGCTTCCATTAACACCTCTGAAAGTGTAAAATCCTTTGGGGTGGCAAAACCATGTTCTTGAACTACACCATTGTTTGGTTGTCAGGGTACAGCAGGTACACTGATGAGAGCGTGTTTTGTTTGGTTTTATTCTCTATGCCTCATGTCAGAATGATGGATTTAAGAAAGTTGCTATTCTTTGAATAATTACATTATAGGCATCTAAGACTCCCAAATGCCTCTGGGCACAGACATCTTAAAAATCTGCACCCTTTTTGGGGTGTTTTTGTAATTCATGTCTTTTCCCATCATTTTTTATTAGTACTTTATCACCAGACAGTCAGAAACAATATTCATTTTCAAATGTCCTGCAGCAGTGTTGTCTTGTTGTTAACTCTTGTCATATTTCACTCATTGGCTTTGAAAATGGAAAGTGATGAATGGCTGCAGTGTTTTGTTTATAACTTCTCATTCTGGAGCTTTCTATAAAAGTAGTACATTTTCATTATTTAACACTGAGTCATTGAAGGGACTTAGGTTTTTTTTCTTATTATAAGAAAAAGTTATTAGACTTACAATCACAAAAATGAACCCTCAAAAATTATGGAAAGAATATTTTAAGAATATTAAGCTCCCATTTTGATTCAAGCCTAATTTATTTAGCACTAGTATGGAATAATGAAATCTAAAGTATTTTGACCTTTCTCACTCTTATGTACCTTAAAACAGAAGTGATCACGATACAAACTGACTAAAATTTTACAGCCAATCAGATTTTAATAATTTTTTTTCTTTTTTCCTTTTTGAGAAATAGACTCGAGCATGAAGGCCTGCACTTCTTGTGACTGTGTTTAATACGATCAGGAAATTCAAATCCAGATGTTTGCTTAAAGGTTAAGACATATTTGAAACAACAAAGGAGGTCTTTTCTTTCTGCTGCATATATTTAAAATGGGCTACTTTTGAAAGAAATTTCAGAACCCCATTTGCATCCTAATTGCAACCCATTTCCTGAGTCCACAGTTAGGCAGACTATAGCGTGGCATTGGGGATTTCTGGGGCAGAGAAATTGTTGGTTCTAGCTGAGCTACTGAAAAATAAAAGGGAAAAAGATGAATGGATTTTTTGGTTCAGCAGTCACCAGCTGGCAGATCGGCTCCTTGGAGCTCCGCCAAGCAGCAGTTTACAGCAGCCCTGCAGCTGCTCTAGGCTGGGCTGGAGCATGACTGGCACGAAGCCACCTTCAGCTTTGGACAAGGACTCAGCCTTCGAATTGGCCAACAGATGCGCTGGGACTGTGGCTTTGCTCGCTCGTGGCTAATGCTCAGAGAACACAGTTGGTACCTGAAAGCTCAGCGCTGGAAAATTTGCGTTAATTGCTTACAGGAAGATAAGGAGAAATAAGTAACAAACAAATGTTTAAGTTTGTCCAAAGTCGGTTTGGTTTGGGAGTTTTTTGGTATGGCATATGTGGCTTTTACTTTTGTGCATCTCATTCTGGGACATTTTTCTTATTTTGACCTGTTCAGGAGGATCCTAAATAAAATGGACCAGCAAGAAAATTTGGTTGCACTGCATTCTTTCAAACTAAATTATCTGAATTCATCGAAAGAAAAATTAATTAATTTCAATTATTGTGTGTTGCCATTTTTATAAAAATGTTAGAATCATACCAAAAAATAACTTGCATGAAAATTAAAGCAGCACTGGACTTACTGACAATATTTTGGAGGGAGAATAGTGTTATTGGGATGAGCAGAGGAGAGGATTTCTTGTTGATTTTGACTCCCATCTGACACCTGTTCTCTCTTTTCCTGATTAAAAGCTATTCTTCAGTAATTTACTGATAACATAGATAACAATAGTATTGGGTTTTGGCAGTGTTTCATAAAACTCTCTGTTCATTTGATGTGTAACTATGCATCTGATAGAATGAGTCTGTCTTTCCTTGTTAACCATCTTATTATCTTATTGGCAGGGACAGGGCCAAACCAATTCCTTAAAATTGTGATGGCATATTATGAATTTCTATTGGTGTTTTAATGTAGGTAAATTAGCTCTTAATTTGTCACCACCTGGTATTTGTTTAATTATTCAGTAGGTGGGGAATTTCAGCAAGTTACAGTTTCACGAAACTAAGACCATCACTAACCACATATGTATTATTAAATATTTATTGATACATATACACACAGTCTCCCCCCATCAGAAACCAATATTTTGTAGACCTAAATAATTTAGAATTTATTTTATTTTAGAATTTAGAATTTATTTTCTAAATTGAAAATATTTCATGTGAAATATAACCTTGATAAGGAAGAGAAAAGGAACACCCCAGTGCTAGATAGTCATAACAGCGTTTCATCAAGTTAAAAAGCAATAGGTGGCAATAACCAGCTGAACTTAGATACAATTTTGCATTAAAAAATCGTTAAACTGTTGTGGACAGCTAGATGAACATGAATGAACAATTTCATGCTGTTGCTAAATAAAATTACTAGCCTCCTACTGGAGTAATTAATAAGAAGCAGATGAAGAAGTCCTTCATAGGATTAATAGTGTTTGTTCTGTTTCATAATGGTGGCAGGTTACCTTGAGTACTGTACTCCTGAGCCTTCTACTTCAAGAAAAAAACAGTGGAATTACTGAAGGGGATGTATATAGAAGACAAGTGTGAATGACTCAGAGTCTAGCAGATGAGTCCTGTGAGAAAAGATCAATGTGGTATTTTTTATTCTAGAGTAGAGAGGAATAAGGAGTTGCTTGACAGCATTCTTTGAAGACATAAATAAGTATTTGAGATTGAACAGTAATTCTTTCTTCATTTTCACAAGAGAGAGAAAAGGAATGGTCTTGAAGCTGGAAAGACACTAAAGTTTAGACATTAGGAAGACCTTTTCTAAAAGTAATATAGTGAAAAAATCTTGGAGGACAAGGCTGTACCGGTTACATCGATGAAGGTCCTTAACAGATGGTTAAGGACCATAAATGTCCAGAGGGATAAACTGGAGTTAACCAGAAGTCCCATGGAGGTCCCACCATGAAGTTCCTCTAAGGTTCCATATCAACCTTTAGGTTTTCAAAGATACAGGGTGACATACGGTAACTCCAGAAACATTCCCTTACAATAAATGCTTGGATTTTTGAAAGGGCATTGAATTTGACTCTTGTCCCAGTGGGAAGCTTATATTAACTGGCATGGAAGTAAATAATTAATATATAGATTAAATAAATATAAAGGAAAATGTTTGAACTTACAGACAGGTCCTCCCAAGAATGATACCCTAGGAATTAAATTGAATTTCATTTCAACACGTATGTGTTATAGATGCAGAAACTGATGTTTTCCAGAAGTGTTCTACTCCCATTTATAAATCTGTGTGCAGTCAGCACTGAATAAAGTGGGGAAAAAATGATGTTCCAGTCCTAATTTTTTTTTTTTTTTTTTTTTTTTTTTTTTTTTTTTTTTTTTTTTTTTTTTTTTTTTTTTTAAATATCATCTCTGATGCCTAAAATGCACTGCAGTCCTTATACCCAAATCTACATATGGCTCTGCATGGAATCATGACCATTAGCCTGCACTAAAAAAGAATATAAGCTATGAATACTGACAATATCATTCTTCTGTGCTGTTTAAAATAGTGAAGTGATACAATTCATTCTGAAACAATATATCTGAGTTTCCTGTGGAATCATGGAAACACCCTGAAATATTTTTAGCCAAATATTGTTGTAAGGCTTGGTAGTATTTTTTATTCTCTCAGCTTTGTTCTGCAACATCAGAGCCCATATGTCAATGTAAATGTCAAGAAACTGCTCCTGTGTCCTTTCAGAGTTCTGTTGCAGAAAACCTGTAAGGAGCCAAACTGGACTTTTGTTTCAAGTTAACCAGTTGCTTTAACCATGCAGTGTGTACCCTGGTCAGGTACACACTGGAAGTCTGCAGTGATCTGATTTGCCATGCACAGATAAATGACCATCATCTCAACAGAAGCAGAAGCATGCATGCTTGCACAGCTTCAGGATTTGGTAACATGCTGGAATCCTTCTTACATTGTATTTTTTCCAGGTAGCTGAAATAAAATTTGTGTTCTTCTCTAGCATGTACTTGACTTGTAAATACACAACAAAACACCTGGATTCAAGGGACAGTGAAAATTGAACATGTTCTGAGCTTAACTGAGACGTGAAGATATTTACAAAATATGTTAAGTTTTGCAAGGATTTGAGAGTATTAAGTGTTGAACTCAATGCGATCAAAATTCTCTTGTTTCATTATGTGGAATGCTTTTGAAAATCTGCTTACAATTCATGGAAACTTTTTATCCATTTATTATGTTCTTTAAAAAAATCCTCCTTTGATTTGAACTAGTTTTTTAAGGAAAGTGCCTAAATTGTTACCTCTAGCAAACATTTTTCAACTCTAGTGCTATTAAAAGTCAATGAAGTTTTGGAAGTTTTAACATCAATCGGAGTTGTCTTTTATTTTAATCTGCCAGACCCATGTGCTGTTCATGTGTAGTGAGGAGTGGTTTATGTACTGCACACCATTTCTCTACTGTGTTCTTTTACTAATACTTTTTGGTTTGTCTTGTTGTGTTTCCCCAGACTACATATCCAGTCAGAATGGTGAGCCAAAATCTCAGCACAAGGGACAGAAAGTCAGCACATACTCCCACCGAGGACCCTTTTAGACACACACCAGGCAACCAAGCAGCAGCGTACGAAAGCAAGAGCTGTCAGCTGTCTAATTTGTGTCTGAGCAGCCTCCTGAAGGAGAAGGAGATCGTGGAAGTCATCAAGCACACGCGAGGCACGTACGAAAGCCTGGCTTCAGAGGTGACGCAGAACGGTTTGGCCCCCAGCACAGCAAAGCCGGCACCCACGGCTGACGGCTTCCCCATGTTCTCAGGAGCTCCGAAGGACCAAAGCGCTGTGCCTCGGCAGCACACCACCTTCACAGGGAGACTGGGACAGCCCCCAAGGGGACCCATCTCTTTACACATGTACAGCAGGAAAAACGTTTTCCTCCACCACAATTTACACACGGCAGAGCTGCAGACTTTAGGTCAACAGGATGGCTAACGAGGTGCTTATTTTCTTGCCGTGGAAGGAGAGTTGATTAAAGAGGGATGTAAGCTCACCTAGAGCTCTTCTTCAGTTCTCATCTGCTGCTACTTTCATGTGAAAAAAAAAGAAATTAAATTTGAACATTGTGTGTAGGTTCCATATTTTCCCACCTCAGACTGAGGCAAAAGGATGAACGAGATTGTTAAATAACTGGGCTGATTTGTCTTGCAGAAGTCATGGGTTTAATAAGTGGGACCGTTGGCTGGCACTGCTAGTCCAATATTGGCTAAATATATTTTTTCCCCTCTATAAATCACTATCATTCCCTGGAGTTCTAGAAGATGATCTTAAATAAAACCTGTATGTTTAATAATATTACCGTTAAAGTAGATGTGAGGAATAAATAGATAAGTAATTAGTAAACCCTCATGAATTTCATAGACATTAGGGAAATTAGGAGTCAGAAATCTTTCAGGACCCTCTTTTTACACTTCTGTTTTTTAATACAGTGAAATTTGGTCAGTTACAGAGTGTTACCACTTCCTGCTGTATGTGTTTCATGAGTGCCTCATGCCACAAGTGGAGGAAGTGATTGATTTTCCTCTAACAGGTTCATAGAGATTCACCAGGTATTTGAGTCAGTAAATTAGGTCCCAGACTGAGGATGTCAGCTTGTTTCCTCAACCTTCCCTCTTCAACACTTTTATTTAACTACATTTCTTTGACTGTTTCTGTTCTATAAGGGCATGTCAAATTGTGGTGATCTTTGTGCTTTACAGGCACTGTAGCACTCATGATGCAATGTGACATTCTGCTGTGTAATTCATCCTATAATTTCATTTCACTTCCCAAACCAAAAAATGTGTGAAAGACTAAAGTAACATAATAATAATAAGGCAAAATAATCTTTTTCCCCACGCCAACCAACCTGCATCAGTCATAATTTCTGTGGGTTGTGTCATCTGCATTTAAGGACCTGTTGGTTTACACCAGTTCAGTGGGTTTGTTAGTCTTGACAGGTTACAAACAAGTGAGATTAATTTATTACCTGGTCTCACAGGAGTATGAAGTCATCTGACCATGCCACAGAGACCTGTCAGTAGCAAAAGATCTGGTTTTACCCTCTCAGAGGTTTGGAAACCTCTGAGTCCAGTTACTCCAAACATGTGCCATGTGTGAAACGTGACACTTCATTTACAACCTCTCTGATGCAGGGTAATCTGTTTGAGTTGTAATGGCACATGCAGTTAGTAATTTAAAAATAATTTGGCATATTTAAGTACAGTTGAGTCATATCTGAGACAAGTCACCTCTCTCGTTAACTGGTGATTAATAGGGAAAGACAAGGGTGTAGCATGTTCTCACACACAGAAACAAGCCATTGTGACTTAACATGTAAAATAAAGCTTCTGCAGCCACTAAAAATCTGCAACTTTTAAATGTTAAGTCAGATGGAGTATGTGAAATGAAGACAAAAATTTACTTAGTGTTAAATGTATCTGCTTCACTGCTTAATATTTGGATTAATACAAGGAAATTGCATTAACAAGTCTTGCTTAGACTAAGAAAAAAAATAGACTATGAGCTTGGCAGATATTTTGTAAAGTAATTTCAGCAGCCTGAAATTTCAGGCTTCTGTTTATTGAGGATTTTATTTGGATTAAAGCTGATTTTATTACATTATCTGATGTTGAAGAGAGCAGGTTTTGTCTAAATATATAGTGATCATTTTTGGTACCCAGAGATGGATGCATAAGCACCAAGACAAACATTTGCCAAAATTCTTTGTGTTCATGTGTGCATTGCTACTGCCAAAACAGAATGTGCAAAAATTGCAAACACAGCTTTACCGAATTAACTGTGGGTATTCAAGACTCCCAGTCCTGCATTGAGACTCATAATTTAAAGTCTATCAAACAAGATAAAAATAGTAATAAGATAATTTCACTACTCAAAATCAATTTTTCTTCTCAGCAATATCTTAAAGTCATGGTAGATTGAAAGGACAGTTAATTCTTACTAACGATTCTTTTCAGTGTTGCTCATCTCAAGAGCTGATGTATGCAATTCAATTTGTGATCTGTAAATAAGTTAAACATACACTGTAATCAAGGAATTTTTTTTTTTTCCAGGATACAAATGTACTGTACTGTTACAAAAAAAAAAAAACAGAACCCAAAAACTAAACAAACCAATACCCTCTTCAGTTTTAGGTTAGGTACTGTATCTATAGTTGTTTTTTTCCTGGGAAAATGGACTTTTGGATTACACTTCATTTAAAAAAAATCCATCTACAAACTTCAAAAATAGCATTTTAAATGCTACTATTTTCTTGGAGAATCTTTTATAGAGCTGAAACTTAAAAAAAATTTGAAAAAAACAGTTCAATGAAAGTGAGGGTTATTTTTAAAATGTCATCTTGAAGCTGTTTTGTATCAGTATTTTCAGCATTATTTGTAATACTAAGTGTAAATCTCGCCCAGAGAAGGGTATTAGCCACATGTTAATGTACAGTACAGCAGTAACTGTAAAAGAGGACCTTTCTTTGATCCTCTTGTGTATATAGGAAATCATAAAGCAACAGCATGTGGACATTCTTGCAGTGAATTGATTCCTTTGTACTAAAAATCTCTAGTTTTTTAAGAGTTCCATGTACAAAATGATTTATACATTTCTCCAAGGCTGTACATATCCAAAGACATGACACCAGGGGAAAAGGCATTTATTATTTTTTTTCCATGGATGTACCTTTCTTCCCTTCTTCTTTTTTTTTTTTTTTTCTCTTTCTGTACAACAAAGCATAACTGCAAAGTTTCTGCTTAAAAATACTTGTTAGTTCCATGTCTTTTGGTGATAGAGGGCGTTTTAAGGAGGAGGAAATCCCTGAAGAAAAACTGTTTCCATTTGAAGCAGGGTCCGTCCCACTTTTTTAGAGCAATCACTTGGCAAAAGAAACCTTAGATCTGTGCCCTAAATATTTTTTTAATAATTTAACAGAGCCACACCTGAAATGTGCTTATCATCATCTCTAGACTTAACCCCGACTAGGACATGTTCATAAGATACAATAACATGCTAGGGGCAGCCCTGGGCATAAATTATTGAGATGGAAGGAAGACATTTGTCCAATACTGTTTTTATGTTTGGCTTTCTGAGCAGTGGAAAGGGGTTTTTGTATGTGCATGTGGATGAAGCTCAAGCTGTGTGCTTGTGCACACTGGAAAAAGAAATCTTGCTACAAAGCTCTCCTCTATTTAGGCTATTTAGCAGCATATGAAAGTATCCAGCAACAGAAATTTCTGCCACCTTTCCAGACAGGCCAGCCCTCTGTATGTAAAATGAAACAGCCAGAAAAGATTCCTTTACTTCAGTCCAGACTCTTACTGGTTTCTATTCCACACAACTCCACATAAATGTTAGAAGGGCTTTATTTATGTGGCTTTTTTCCTGGGTATTATGAAAGGGTGTATATCCAGACTAAGATCTTCAAATGATGTTTAGATAAGCATTTGAAAGCTTACCAAAGCGTTCATGTTTGTCCTACAGGTTCATTTCAGTCATTACAAGTTCATTACCAATAAAAATTGGTGGTTTTCTCTTTCAAAAAGCCAGTTTGGAAGTAATGATTTCTGTCTGTGCTGATTCACTTTATACTGTTAAATACACAGTGCACTCTTCAGAGTAAGAAAAATGAGGTGTTTACAAATCAGTACTGTACTTTATATGCCCTGAGAGTTGTGCCATATCTTCACTGGTTTGATTGGTATGACACTGACTTCCATTAGGTTATACCAAGTTAAGTCACCTGATGACTGAGATTGTGGCCTTTAATCCAGCTAGTCTCAGTTTATGCACAGGAGATCTCTAAATCTGGAAATCTTTCCTGGGTCACAAAAAAAAAAAAAAAAAAAAAAAAAATAAAAAATACTTACTCTAACAAAAACATCAGATCGCGATCTATGGTGAGTGCATTTTTTTTCCCCCCTTCACATTCAAAATCAAAAAACTCCTTTGAACATCTACATAGTTCACAAGTGAAAAAGAGTAATATCTAACAAAATGCAAAATCTTGAAATAAAAATCTAGAGAAAAAAAATACAGGGGAGTCTTCTCACAGACATTTATAAAGTTAATAAGTTTGTAAAGACATTGATAACTTCTGTATCTGAGTGCAGTAATGAAATATGTTCCATGGCCTCTACCACTCTCTGCTGAATTTTTTCAGAGGGAGAATTTGCTGTTTGAAGCTTGTTCAAGACAAAGCAGAGAGTACAGTCTGAGAGAGTAGATTGAAAATATCTGTGCAGGTCTTCTCCCAGCTGGGAGAAACACACAGCATCCTTTCCTTTCCAGGATATATCTTAGTGTTCTTCAGCAAGAAGCTGAGAGAGATTCCTCAGGAGAAAAGCCTCAAATCACGCAGGCCACAGCTGTCTTTAAATGGGCTTGACTTTAACATGTCCCATAGAAGGCACTTCTAAAATAATGTGGAAATTTCAGCAGCTGCAGAACACACCTTGCTGGGTTGTTGGGGCTTTGTTTTTGAGATAAGAATGCCATGTGCTAGTTTTAACCTTGTAAACTCTGTTTGGAACTTGCTTGCTCGCTGGTGATCTACCCAGGATGTGAGAGTTTATCCACTGTAATGGATATGATACTAACTCCTCACATTTAAAGACATTGGATATCCTCCCTGAGGAGCTTGGGATTTGCAATGTATTTTCAGTCTAGGAGAACTATCTGGATTTAATTATCTTCTTCAAGGATCTTCAGTTGTTGCAAAGTAGAAAAGAAACTTATTTATTGAAGTATTTTGGAAAGATTTTGTGGTTATTTTTATTTTAAAATACACTTAAACAGTTTCTCCCTGTATCTAAAGAAAAGCAAAAAAAAAAAAAAAGGAAAAAAAACCCCAACTTTTATCAGTATATATTTCCCATAAATCTGTGATTCTCACTAGCCACAGCTGTCACTTGCATTCTGTTCAGCTGTGAAATATTTTTGGATTTGCTGTT